ATGTACGAGTTACTAGATATACTTTCTGAATGTTCACGTAACAGCACAGGTTTTTTGTTGTTGTTGAAAAGATAGTCAAGTATAAACTTAGAGTCACGAAAAGTAGGAAATATGTAGTTATCTAGTGAGAGTTAACATTCATTGACTAGAATTGAAGACAAGAAGACTAGAATTGAAGACAGCCTAGCTAGAAAGTTAACATAAAGTAACTACATAGTTAACATAAAGTCACTAAAAGTTCAGATAGAGTAATTTCAAGTTAGGATGAAATAACTACAAATCATAATGAAGTAATTGCAAATTAAGGTGAACTGAGTGCAAAATAAAATAAATTAAAAAATGAGTATGCCTATGTTAAAATACTTACAAATTACGAAAACAAAGTGACTACAAGGTATGTAAAGTAACTACAGGTAAAGAATAGATAACTACAGGTTATGTAAAGTATTATAAGAACAATTTAAGATAAAGTGAACTAAATTAAATTAAAGTAACTATTTAGCTGGATTAAAAACACGCTTTAAGATAAAGTAAATATATGCAACTAACAGAAGCTAGATGTCTGAGCAGGACTACAGGAGTGATCAGCAAAGATATAACCAGAACAGAAGTATTATGAGAAAAGTCAGTACATAACCAATTCTACATTACATACAAAGACGGTAAATCAAATGGTTTGCCCACAATGAGTACCTACAAGAAAAGGATGTGAAGCACAAGGTTGACCAAGAACAAGGTGGAAAAATAACACTACATAAAATCTACAACAACACCATGTGTCATTGGTCGGGACGGTCAGAATTGCAAAAAGCAGAACCTTATTTCGGCAAAAGCAGAACAAGAGGAATAAAGAAGAAGAACATGAACGTAGTAAAGATAAAATACCTCAGGTTGACATTAAGTAATTATGGTCTTTCAATTTCATGTATTTAGAAGTTTTTTTGTGTGTCATGAGTGTTACTTTAACGTGTAGTCAAGTACCAAGACCTCTGGTCTGAGTGTTGATATTTTTTCTTTCAAAGCGTACCTATCTCTTCTGGATGGCTTGTTTGGTAATTGTTTTCCCCTCCAAGATTGCTGTCACTACCGAGGGTCAACCTATGGATCATGCTGATATTATTAATGCCCTCTGAGAAATGGAAAGGGTGGAGGACTTTGAGGCAGTAAAACAACATCACTCGCCAGAATGATAAATTTGGAAGTTTAGAATGGAACCGCAAAAAAAAAAAAACACACACACAACAACAACAGAGGACTTGTTAATCAACATAGAATTGGTACCAATAGCCACCGGGCGCTGGGCTTCATACTGAAGGGATGATTTGAGCACCTATGCACATGTCCGGAGCGCATTGACAATAACCTAAGCAACTAACTAACTAACTAACTAACTAACTAACTAACTAACTAACTAACTAACTAACTAACTAACTAACTAACTAACTAACTAACTAACTAACTAGCTAATTAGCTAACTAACTAACTAACTGACTAACTTACTGACTAACTAGCTAGCTAGCTAGCTAGCTAACTAACTAACTAACTGGCTAACTAACTAACTAACTAACTAACTAACTAACTAACTAACTAACTAACTAACTAACTAACTAACTAACTAACTAACTAACTAACTAACTAACTAACTAACTAACTAACTAACTGATTGACTGACTGACTGACTAACTTACTAACTGACTGACTAACTAGCTAGCTAACTAACTAACTGGCTGACTTACTGATTGACAAACAAACAAACTAACTAACTAACTAACTAACTAACTAACTAACTAACTAACTAACTAACTAACTAACTAACTAACTAACTAACTAACTAACTAACTAACTAACTAACTAACTAACTAACTGACTGACTGACTGACTGACTGGCTGGCTAGCTAACTAACTAACTAACTAACTAACTAACTAACTAACTAACTAACTAACTAACTAACTAACTAACTAACTAACTAACTGACTGACTGGCTGGCTAACTAACTAACTAACTAACTAACTAACTAACTAACTAACTAACTAACTAACTAACTAACTAACTAACTAACTAACTAACTAACTAACTAACTAACTAACTAACTAACTAACTAACTAACAAACTAACTAACTGACTGACTGACTGACTGACTGACTGACTGACTGACTGACTGACTGACTGACTGACTAACTAACTAACTAACTAACTGGCTAACTAACTAACTTGCTTACTGACATACTGACAGATTAACTAACTTACTAACTAACTAATTAACTAACTGATTGACTGACTGACAGACTGACTAACAAACTAACTAGCTGTCTGACTGACTGACTACCTAACTAACTAATAACTAACTAACTAACTAACTAAACTGACTGACTGTTTTTTAGTAAGCATACAATCTCATTGAAAAGAATCAAACAAAAGCAAATTCCTGAAAACCCCCTGTTGAGCGAATAACATTGTTATGTTAGGGGTTAGCCTTGCGGTCATCGGGTAACCTGCACACAAATGTATGATTGCGGGTTATTAAAATAACTGGCTAAACGCGATGAGAACATATTCTGGAAACTTTGCCCTTTGTTGCTGTTGTGTTTAATGTCGAGAAAGGCTCCGACCGAAACGTCCGATTTTTCTTTTATATGTACATTGTTGCTTTTGCCCTCTTCATTTAGCTTCTTAGTTACAGCTCAGTGGATTAATAACTGTAGCTACTTCTGGACTTGTCCCTAAGTAGATTCCTGACCCAAAATGTGGTACTGGTGGGTGTGTGAGTGGGAGGGTGGGGCGAGAATGGACCCACTGGCTCCCAAATAAGCATGTCGTAAAAGGCGACTAATTATGGGCTTGCTTTCACTTCGAAGTAGCAGTGCATCTGCCGGAGAGGCGATGACTGGCTGACTTTCTACTCCACCAGGACACCATACAAGCGACAAACACCCGATGACACAAAGTGCCACCTATGCGGACGAGGATCGCCGTGGAGAGGTCCCAGAAACCGCGTTCAGACACTTGGCCATATTTATGGCCTGCCTATATTGCGGCCCCCGGCAAAAGCCAGGGTAGAGCTTCAAATAAAAATTTCATCCTGAAAAGGACAGAACAATCCAGAGGCGATGAACCAACAGTCTGCTTACAAATAAACAATATCTGTAAAACGGATTTGCACATAAAAGTACAATTCTGGAACAAAAAGTCCAAAAGTAGACGAACAATCAAAACTTTCCTCAGGAATTTATAGTCACTAAACGCGAAGAAGAAGAGTGGTTTGCTCAAATCGGATGCATTTGTGCCAAAAAGCTCAAATACCGCAGGCTAGCTTTGTGCCACAACACAGCGCGTCAATCGCCCTATTACAAACAGACACAGAAGTCATGATTCGCAAGGGGGTACTATAATCTCTTGCATTTATCACAAGAGTTAGCTGCCGGTTGTCGAAGCGATATTGATTGAGCTTTGCAAGGTGAATGAAGCGGCTGAAAATGCTGCATTTACATAATGAAGTTGTAAACGGTGTGTATTGCTCTAATCCTCTGCCTGCCCGAAAGAAACACCTATTATTATGTCGTTGGTTTTTATTTTCCCGGGTTTTCTGTTATTGTAAAACAGAAGGAATAACAATGTGCTATAAATAACATGTACAGGCGTTTAAAAAAGACGCGGCCAAAGACCAGGTTTTGTTATTCAGTCTTTCCTCGTGACTTTAGCTGGGAGTTGCCGTGGCGTTGGTGGCAAGACGCCCGCTTGCTGATGGAAAGGTCGTGTGTTCGCGTCCTAACGGAGCCTTACATTTTTGTCAAAAATGACCTTGACTCCCAGGTCGACCCAGCTTGAATGGGTACCAGATGCAGTCCTGGGAAGTAAAGGCGGTGGGCGTGATGCTGACCACATCATCCACCAAGTGCTGATTGGTCTATAAAAAGCCCTATATTTGCAATACGCCTAAAGGCGTAGGAAAAAGCACCTTGAGCATAGAGTGGCGCATAGGGAATAGACCAAGCTCTCCGTGCTTGGTGGTTCCTCGCCACCTACTTTTAGGTCTTGAATGTTTGTCAGGCGCAGACTGAACCATCCCTGATGAGGGTTCTTCTAGAGTTTCTCTTGGTCTTCCTCGTTTTCTGTTCCCTTTCAAAGACGAGGGGAGGAATACTATTTTCAGTGGGAAATCGACGATTTGGAGAAGCAGGGGAAGGCGGAGGACAGGATAAAGAGAAAGAAAAAGAACACGGGAAGGAGGAAGAAGAAGTGGAGGAGAAAAACAAAAATTAAAATTACAACAAAAGCAACAAGATTTGCCCGCAGTCAGTTTTTTGTAAGCATAATGGAAGAGAGTAGGAATTATTTCTTATTTTAAAAATATTTGTGTCCAATTTGGGAAGCATAAGAAAAAATCTGTTGGGCAAATAACCTTGTGACTTTGATTGAATGTGATGTTCTATGTAAAAATTTATTATACTTTTTTTTCTATTTTTAGTTGAGTTGAATTGAGTTGGATTTAGAACAGACATCATAGCACTCGGTACATTCGCATAAGCGCTCCGCCTTCATCTTCAGCAGCTAGTGCAGAGTTTTCAGTTCCAATGGTTGCCAGAAGCAGCCTGATTGTTTGTCCGTCTTGCCCTTGCTCTAAGTATTGAGTGTCAGCCAGATCGCATGGTCCCTCCCGGCAGCTCCATTCTCTTCAGACAGTGACGGTCTAATTGTTTTTGGCATTGTCCACTTGTTCCTGAACGGCCTTTGGTCACATCTTGTTTCATGCATCAATTCACTACAGAGAACCAACCACTATTGTATATTCAGTATGATGTGTACAGATCAACTGATAATTGACACACAGAAGCTTTTAAGTCTTCGACTGCACTGTCGGAACTAAAACAGTCGGCACGGACACGTAAACTCATTTGGATGCTTATTAATTGCAACAATTCTTGACATTTAGTTAACAACATCAACAGAAGTTTAATTTTCTTGTGTAAAGACATCCCATTGTCTACAGGCGCCAACCATCATGAGTGCCAGGGCAAAGAAAGGCAAAAAGAAAGACGAAAAGCCGCCACCAGCCACGGGTCCCGGTAGTAAAATTATAGCTCTACCCGAACCGTTACGCAAAGGTTACATAAAAAGAATCGGGGACACCAAACAAGTACATCTGCAGTTTGGAACAGCCAATATGAAGACGCTACCTATTGAGATTTACAACAACGAAGAGTTAAGTGCACTAACGGTCAAATTCAACGCTGAAAATAACAGGATAAAACGACTGCCAAAATCTATTTCTGAGTTAGAGAATTTGGAATATATTGACGTCAGAAACAACAACTTATCATCTTTTCCAGCGTCCGTGGCTAAGCTAAAGAAGTTAAACTTTCTGGATTTAACAGGCAACAACTTAAAAAAGCTTCCCAACACAATTCATAAAGCAACGGGTCTGAAGACACTTTTGGCGCCCAAAAACAGAATACGTGGGTTGCCAAAGAACATCGGGAAGTCCACAAGTCTAGAATATGTCGACGTGTCTTTCAACATGATTAAATCTTTCAAAAAAGGTGTTTACGAGAGCAACGCCTTCATCAACTTTAGAAACAATCGAATCAAGGAAATGCCGAACGTGAAGGTGAAAAAAGCGAAAATCAAGAAGTTGGATCTGTCCCACAACTCGATTGCTTTTATACCAGACACCATCAATCGTCTGTCTTGCCTAGTTTGGCTAGATATTTCCCACAATTCTCTCGATGAACTCCCAGCTCAGATTGGTATGGTCAAGTATCTACATTATTTCGACGCTTCCTTCAATTCTATCAAAGGTTAGTAGTATTGTATACGTGTTTCATGTTGTTGACTCTATCATGTAATTGTTCTTTCTTGAATGAGCCCTGTTTGTTTATGTGGTTGGAGTTTATAAGGAGTAAAAATTACACGTCATTGGTCACCGCTTTAGGAAAGAAGCCACAATCTAGAGAGAGAGAGAGAGAGAGAGAGAGAGAGAGAGAGAGAGAGAGAGAGAGAGAGAGAGAGAGAGAGAGAGAGAGAGAAAAGAAAGAGGAAGAGAGAAGAACTACTTAAAAAGATTAATTCTTTTTAGCGATTAAAAATAAAATTCGATAAAAAAATATGATTGTATAAATGCTTTTCATTACAACTGGCAAAGAAAATAATCAAATCACTAAAAAGGCAACCTAAACTGACACAAGACGATTACAAGGGACAGACCAGAGCAAGTCATTATTTTACACCTTAGAACAGGACATAATTGATTTCGGAGTCACATGTACACAAAATGTTAGACTGGCGAATCAGCCGTGCATACATGTGGATTGACACCTAGCTAAAACAACTGATCACATCCATCAAGACTGTCCCAAATACAGCATATCAAGGCAAACCTTCTGGCCAAGAAAAACACCTACTCAAGTCAAAATTTACAGGTAGCTGGAATTTACCTGAAACTCATTTAAGGCTGGGTTGACCTAGGAACCAAGGTCATTTGTTTTAAAGAGTTCGGCTCCGCCAGGACCTTCATATCCACAGGCGAGCGTCTAGGCGCTACACCACGGAGGCTCCATCTCTCCTGCATGTAGTAGGTTATTTTGGTGATTACATATTTTAAAGATACGAAACAAGTGGGAGGATAACATCAAGAGATGGACGAGCAGCAGTCTGAGAGAGTGTACAACCAGGACAAGATATGAGAGAGAGAGAGAGAGAGAGAGAGAGAGAGAGAGAGAGAGAGAGAGAGAGAGAGAGAGGGGGGGGGGGGTTGGAGATCTATTGCAGTCAACCTTCACGGTGAACAGTGCCGAGGTACAGATGGATCATTACGGTATGAGGAGAATGGCACTGGAGGAAATAAAGGGGATCTGGCCAACGCTCGACACTCATAGGGAAAGGCGAGACGGACATACAATATGACAGTTACTCGTACTATCGGAATTTTAACTCTTCGCTTGCTGCTGAAGATGGGAACAGAGCGCTTATGGGGGTGTCCAGAGGGCTGTGATGTCGATTTTTAGTTCAGCCTCGAACATTGAACATTCAACCTTCATGGTGGAGAGGTGCATGATTGATTCATTGATTGATTTTAAAGACATCTTTATTGCGTTTTATATAATAAAAATATATCTGATGTTTTCGCATTATTCATCTATAAAACCACAACCCCGGGAACTATCACAGAGTCCTTTAATCCAGTGGTTCTCAAACTGGGTGCCGCGGCACCCCAGGGTGCTGCGAGCGTATGCCCCAGGTGCCGCAGCAATAATCAAGTACAAGGTCAGACAATTAAGTAATAAGACTGATTTTATTATGGCAAAGACAAAAATGCCATCAATTAAGTAAAGCATGGAATCTAAAGAGGCAACATTCATCTATGACCTGGCAACTTTTTATCTTACTTTACTTTTACTTTTTACTTTTTCCTTCCACGTATGCCGCGCTTCTTTGGTTGAAAATTTGTGATGTTATTTGGTCATTTTTCATCCTGGTTAGATGTCCAAACCATTTCATTCTTTGATGTTCTATGTAGTCTAAACATGGTGTAGTTTTGACAGTGTTTCTAATGTCTATGTTCTTTATCCTGTCTAGTCTGGTCTTATTCGCTGCTTTTCTTAGACATTTCATTTCACAGGCTTCTATATTTTCTTTCATGGGTCTTGTTGATTGTCCATGTCTGGCACTGGTAGCAGAGTGTTGGAATGAAGATGGTGTTTATCAATTGTCTTTTGGTCTTCATGGTTATATCTGGATGTTTAAGCAGAGGTGATAGTTGGTATGTGACAGCATTTGCTTTCTGTATTCTTGTTTCTATCTCTCTGTCCATTCTTCCATCCTCTGTAAATATACTGCCCAAGTATTTGAACTCTTTGGTTTGCTTGATTTTGGCACTTCCAACATTTATATTCAGTGGCCTGTGTGTTCTGCTGATCTTCATAACTTCTGTTTTTTTCTGTACTGATTTTCATATTATGTTGTAAACAGCTGTTGTTGAGAGTAGTCAGATGTTCCTGTAGATCATATTCATTTTGATACAGTATGCTTTGATCATCAGCAAAAAGTAATTCGTTTATAGCATACACGTCTGGGTTTGCTTCTACAGTGATCTTATCCATGTATGTTATGAAAAGTAATGGTGACAGTACACATCCTTGTCTGACACCAGTTGTGACTTTGAACCATTCAGAAAGACCACTAGATGTTCTTACTGCACTTTCACTTTTTTCATAGAGGGCTCTGATGTTGTCTAATAATTGACCCTGCACTCCGTAATCGTCAAGAATTCTCCACAGCACATCTCTGTCCACACGGTCGAATGCCTTCTCTTGATCTACAAAGACCACGTTCAGCTCTTTATCGTATTCGAGTGTCTTTTCACAGACTTGTCTTAGTGCAAATATGGCATCAGTGCAACCTCGCCCTTTCCTGAAACCGAATTGTGCTTTACTCAGTAGAGGTTCAACCTTTGCTCTTATCCTACCTTCTAAGATCTTTGCATACATTTTCCCCCACATGACTTAGTAAAGATATTCCTCTATAAGTTCCACATTCTCTCTTGTTTCCTTTTTTCTTCCAGATAGGTACTACAACTGATCTTTGCCAATCCACTGGTACCTTTCTCTCTGCCCATGCTCTATTGAAAATTCTCTCCAGCCAGGTGATCATAGTGTCCCCTCCAGCCTGGATGACTTCTGTTGTTATTCCGTCGATACCAGCTGCTTTGTGTCTTTTACTTGTTTTGATAACTTTCTCTACCTCATCCCGCAGGATATGTGGTTCTAGATGATCTGGAGCCCTTGAATGGAATTCTGCTGTTTCATGTACTCCCGACGGGTTCAAAAGTTCTTTAAAATATTCCTCCCATCTTTTTTTAATTTCTTTTTGGCTGAATAATGGTTTTCCATTTTTATCATTTATGACTGATGTTGGATTGAAGCTTTCTTCTCTTAATCGCATCGCTTTCACACTCTTATAAAAGTCTCTTGATGATTCTGTACATAGCTGTGTTAGGTGTTCACCATACTTTTTCCATGAGTCCTCTTTTGATTTCTTTATTGTTCTCTTGGTGTCTCTTCGAGTTAGTCTGTACCTAATGTAATCCTTTTCGTCTTTTGTTTTTAACCATATTTGAAACATCTTCTTTTTATTTGACACTGCTTCTTTGACTTCTTCATTCCACCAAGCGGTACCCTTTTTCTTGCCTTTGCCCGTCTTTCTGGTACCACACTTGTCTTTTAATATCTTCGTGATGGTTGATTTATAATAATCCCATTCTTCTTCAATTCTTACTGGTTCCTTGGCAATATCTGCAAAAGCCTTTGTTATTTCTAGTTCAAATTCATGTTTGATATTCTCTTCCTCTAATTTCTTAGTGTTGATGATTTCTTCACGTTTCTGTTTATGTAGACTGTTTCTACTTGAGTTGCATATGTTCATAACTACTGGGCGATGGTCTGAATCCAGTCCCGCATTTGGGACAGCTTTTGAGTCTCTTACCTTCCTCTTCTGCCGTTGTCTGACTAGTATAAAATCAATTTGTGACGCTTGATCTAAGTTGTTCCACTTGTACCACGTTTTAACCTGACTTTGGCGATGTTGGTAGAATGTGTTGGTAATGTAGAGATCTTGTTCAGCACACAAGTTTAGCAGGTGTTCTCCATTTCTATTGCAATCTGTGGTTGTGTCGCTAAATGGGCCAAGGTATCTCTCCCATGGTGATCTTCTTTTACCTACCCTACCATTAAAATCTCCCATTACTATGATGTCCTCTTTCTCTTTAACATTATTGATGGTGTCCGTAAGTCTCTCGTAAAAGTCTTCTTTTTCTTCTTCAGAGTAACTATCATTACAAGGTGCATATATCTGAATAATCGTTGTAGTTTTACTTCCTTCTGTCAACTTGATTAAAATAATTCTTTCTGATATAAATTCTGTTCCTGTTATTAATTTTGCTGTCTCGGGATGAAGTATAAATCCGACACCATGTTTTGCCCTATCTTTAGTGGGTACTCCGCTCCATACTAAAACATAATTTTCATGTATTTCTTTTGTATTATATCCTTTCTTTCTTGTATCCGCAAGACCCATGACGTGTATATTTTTTCTTTTCATGAAATCCACTATTTGTGGCTCTTTGTTGGCAATACCACATATGTTCCATGTGCCTATGTAAGTCGTTTTTCTGTCTCGTCGTCCTTTAACGTTTCCAGTCCATTTTCCGTTTGGGGCTATCCGTTTATTTATCTCCTTTCTAATTTTCGTAGCAATAAAAAATCCACTGCCGGCTTGCTAGGCCAGTCGCAGTTTAAGGGAAAATCTGACCAGATGGACCCCATCCCATCTGGCGAGCCAGAGCCTCGTTCGCCTGTGGCCTCACGGCCACAGTTTCCCGGTCTGCACCACTGGGAGGAGAGGTTGACTTATGTGTACTGTGGGTCATCGGCAGGCTACTAATTTTCACTTTTCACCTCTCCTAAGAGAAGCTAGCCGACCCCAACCCTGCTGGATGCAGAGCCAGGCACATTGCTAATGCACCTAGACCTGGAAGCAAATGTTTGTTCGTAACGATGAACTCATTGCAAAAGTCAGAGAACGGATACATGAAGATCATTGTTTCACTGTGAGGATGATGGCAGATGAATCTGGTGTTAATAGAGAGACCATTCATAACATTTTAGTGCAAGATCTTGGAAAGAAAAAAGTTGCTTGCAGGTTTGTACCACATTCATTGTCTAATGACCAAAAACGTCAGCGGGTTCAGTACTTAAGAGACATCATCAAAAGAATAATTTGTGGCCCCAACACAAGTGTGTGTTCTCAGTTTTCCACCCTATTCACCATATTTGTCTCATTGTGATTATTTTCTATTCTCAAAATTAAACTTGTGATTGAAAAGACGCTTCTTTAACGATATTGATGACAACTAAAGGGCTTAGGGTTATAACAACAGAAGAACTACAGATGTCGTTCCAGTGTTTGTTAGATCGTGCCACTTGTTGTATAGATGCACAAGGGGCTTACTTTGGGATAAAATACAGGCTATATCTTCAACTATTGATTATTTAAATTTTTATGGAATTAGTCTCATTACTTAATTGTCGGACCTTGTATTTGTCAAAATCTGCTTGAGATCATCGAAGACAGCAGTTTAAAACAGAAAGACCGTGAAGGAAGCCAAGAAGAGCCCTGATTGCGCTTACATTCAGAAGACAATGCTATTAGCAAGGCTGCAGAACATTTTTAACGTACGTCTACTTAGAAAAAAAACCACACAGATACAGGAGCCATCTTTCTAGGTCAAGTGATTCGAGGGTACAATTAACTAAACTTCCGATAAACATAAAGGACAAATTCAAAATGTATCTAAAGAGTTTCATTCATCTCATTAAAGACAAGTTAGTTAGTTGCGTATCCTTTACAGGACGTTGCAGAACCAACCCTAACAGCCCCTGGCTGTTGTGTGGTTTCTCTTGGCAAATTTACGTCAAGTAGTTTGCCACTTCTTTTTGGACGGTCGGCTTTCTGGATACCACTGTCGAAACCAACGCAAGACGCATTGCCCACAACTGGGTTCGAACCCGGCATCCCGGCATTTCGAAGCGAAGCGTTCGCATCGACTTAGCCACAGAGCCGACAATTAAAGACAGCTGATCATAAAATTTGAACTTTTCTTCTTCTTTTCCTAAGTATTCAAACCACTTTAAGTGTAGGTGTGCCGCGAAATTGTCTTTGCCCGACAAGGGTGCCGCGGCGAAAAACAGTTTGAGAACCACTGCTTTAATCGACAGACTTCCCACGGGCAGTACCACCAGACAAGGCCCAGATGCAGAAAGCAGACATGACTCATCTGCTTTGGCGCTTTGCTAAAGAAAAAAAGGAGCTTTAGGATATAATTGTGACTCGGTTATGTGCGCCACATAAAATGGTGTAGCGTTGCACGCCACCAAGAGCCCTGAAAAGGACTCCTGTAGCGTTGATGGAGACAGATCTAAATACTGTCCTGACCGTCGACAAAGTCGTCTACCGTCGAGCCTGTAGTCAACCCTATCGCCGATGATTATTCATCTAAGAATGCGTTACTGAGAATGACCTCATGGCCACACCATGAGAAATTGACAAACATAGCAGAAACAATAGAGTTCAAAGGCAGTAGCTCACCAGACAGACTCAGAGGACATAAGAGAGATCAAATACAGACAGACCTACATACACCTGGAGTCACCAAATGGACAAGAAGGGCAATCACAGACACTAAGTGAGGCCGATGATATCGACAGCAAATGGACGACATGTGAAGACACCGCTAACGACTTTCTCTTTCCCCCAGAAGCCATTCAGGCCAGTGTGTTGATGGCGGCGCTATTGATAATCTGTATATCAGGGGCACTGACTATGAAAACACACAAAGGAGGGGGGGGGGAAGGGGGAATTTGGAGCTTTCCTACAAATTTCGGGGAGGACGGATCAAGGAGCCTATGTTTTGTTTAAATGATTAATACTAATACCAACAATGTGCTGGAAGACAAATAAATATGCGATTACATATGAAATAATGTGATATATATAATCAAAAACTTGAAAAGACAATTTCTCTACACATTTAGACGGAGGGGGTCAGGGCGGCATAGCCATCCTTACAGGTCTATACTTACTTGCTAGGGCGTTGCGAGTCCGACTCGTAAGCCAGCATACCGCGATCGAAACCCACTGCAGGGTACCAGGATGGGCTGTCCTGGGAAAGTAAAGACAGCCGGCGTAATGCTGACCACATTACCCACAGAGTGCTGATGGTCTGTAAAAATATGGGACGCTCTGCCCATATGCCCGATGCGCCGAAAGGCGTGAAAAGGGAACTTTACTTTACTAACAAGATACGACGTTCCTGTGCCCCTGGTACACGCACTGAGCAGATCATTTTCATATTTATTATGTTAATTTTAAGGACTGCAATTATGCTAAGCATTATAAGCCATGTTACTTATTGTGTTAATTTCTAAGCACTATAATTATCGTAAGAGTTATAACCTTTGTTATCCATTGTCTTCATTTTTAAGTAGTACACTTCTGCTAAGAGTTAAAACCCTTGTTATCCATTGTCTTTATTTTCAAGTAGTACAATTCTGCTAAGAGTTTTAACCTATGTTACTATTGTGTTAATTTGTAAGCACTACAAATCTACAGTTGTGAGCCATGTTATGCATTGTGTTAATTGTGGGTACTATAAATCTGCTAACAGTTACAACCCATGTTATTTATTGTGTTAATTTTAAGTACTTTAACTTTCCTAACAGTTTTATCCCATGTTATTTATTGTGGTAAAATTTTAAGTCCTATAAATCCATCAACAGTTATAACGCATGTTACTTATTGTAATTAATTTTTAATTACTACAAATTTGCTAACAGCTATAAACAATGTCATTTATTGTGTTAATTTTTGAGTACAACAAGCCTGTCACAGTTTTAATCAATGTTATGCATTGTGTTAATTTCTAAGTACGACATTCTACTACGGTTATAACACATCTTATGTGTTGTGTTAATTTTCAAGCACCACACATCTTTTACATTTATAACTCCTATTCTGTGCCCAGCGATCCCTGACGAACTTTGCGCCCTGGGCTCAGCCCTCGACACGCTAAAGCTCTCCAACAACGAGATAGCTCTCCTGCCTGAAGAGATACACAAGCTGAAGAAACTTCGAGTGTTGGACATGGCCAACAACCAGCTAGAGTACCTTCCGGAGTCCGTGAAGAATTTGATGTTTGTGCAAGAGATCAACGTCTCTGGAAATATGCTGACTTCGATGAAGTTTGCAGTGACTTTGAAAGTTAGTAAACTATTGATTAAAATATAAAGATTAACACTTATGTTTTTAAACTGTTGACTTATTAGGTGTTGGCCTTTGAATATTCCTGTGACTCTCTTGTCTGCAGCGGTGAAAATGGACGTTGTGGAAAATACATACTACCTTACCAGAAAATAAGCCATCGCATGGTTTTTTTTTCAGCATGTTTATATAAAAAGTCAAACCTCAAACCCTAGTTGCTCACGATGAGCAGCCAGATGTATGGATTTCGTTCATCCGTTGAAACTCTAAGCGAAATTGTATAGGTACTTGAATCTTTGCAGACTGTAACTGAATATCTGTATATTAGTTTTACTTAAAAAAAAAGCACCCAGCTGGCTAGCGTAGTTAGTTAAACCTGACTACGCGGTGACCGGGTGACGAACTCCTTGTGGTCCGGGTTCACACCCGGGGGTAGGCAGAAAAGCCACATTTCTCCCAGATTTACGGTACCTATCATGGAATCAAGGCCGAAGGGTTGCGATATCCATAGTACCGAGCCAAAGGGCTAACAACTCATGTTTCTGAATACTTATAAAAAAAAATTTTTTTACTGAATAAATATAAATGTTTATGCATAAAAAAAAAAAAAAATCAGACATTTCAGGAGAATAAACTTTTGCGGTATTAAGACCCGGTATTATTTTCGAGAAAACGCGGTAGTTACCGTATATCATAATACCGCCGTTCAGCGTATGTGAAATCATGTAACTGTATACCAAAAGACCCGTTGGCAGACACTAACACAATACAAAACATGCAAATAAGAATTGTGAACAAACTTAGGACTAGTGTTATCAGTGGCCACATGCTGAGGGAGATGCTGAAACTTGAATCCGAGCGCTTATAGACTTTTCCAATGCGCGATGAGGATGATTGCTAGATTTACTAACTTGTTTAGGTGATGAGGTAAATTGTAGGTGACTCCAGTCGAGTTGATAACACAAGAAATGCTTAATACAGCAGAAAATGGAACTTGAAAGCTGAGGCGAGGCAAAACGAAAGACATTTTCTTTTTCTCAAAGTCCATGTTGTTAGTAGTCATGCCACAACCTCCTGTCTCATGTACTTTCAGTCAACTCTGACACGGATGATCCTCCATGCCATGATGTCAAACTGTCTAGCATCTGTTCTCTCTGTCTCCCTATGTCTCTCCTCCCCTCCAACTTTCCTACTGTCACCATGTACTCCAGTTTTTTTCCTTTTCATCATATGATAAAAGAACATAGATTGTCTCTTTTTGATATGGGCAATCAGTTCTCTTCGTGATTCAGTTACTTTCAAGACATCTTCGAATACTCTTTTCATCTGTACGGGTTATTCTCATCATTCATCTATAAAACCACATCTGTGCAGCTTCCAAAAGGGAAAGACAACACAAATACAATCTAGTACTCCGTTGATAAAGACTTCGGTCGAAACGTTCGTGTGTTTTTTTTTTCGTCTTTTTCATCCTCTACGTTGAGTTGTCTAGTCATATTTTATGTTGTATTTAGCATCATCTATTCAGAACTGAAAAGCTTTATGATGTTCACATTGTCTGGTAATGATTTCTCTGCAATATTTCCACAGACTCTTGTCAGTCTCCAGATTGCTGGAAACAAGGTGGAGGTGGTTCCGGCTGAGATCAGAAAAATGAGATCTTTGGTCACACTTGACCTGTCCGACAATGGAATCAAAGAAATCCCAGAAACAATAGGTCTGACTTTATATGTACATTTTTCTGAGCTTGTGTGTCTAAAAAAAAAAAAAAAAAAGATAAGGGAAGCAAGGAATAGTTAAACTGTAGTCTAGCATACGTGTGTAAGTTATGTTGCAAAGGCTGGTACCTGCAAAATCTTTCACCGTGGACTCATGCTTCTCGCTTCTGACCATCTCATGAAGGAAGTTGTAGAAGACTGCAACTGCAAAATCTTACCACTCATGAGCGATTCTATGAAGGGATGGACTGGTTCGAGTTGGTTCAGGGTCCATGCTTGCTTGGGAAATGAAATTCCACAGTCAAAAACAGGCAGCCTCATATGGTAACGTAACTGTCTGGAGTTGCCTGGAAGAAAAATGGCAGCAATGAAGGGGACTTCATTATGTTATAGCACAAAATATGTGAAGGCTGATCACTTGACACAGTAACAGTAGTGACCAGAATGAGACCGTCTGTACACATATAATACGCATAAATATGTACATAATGTGATAAGGGGATAATGAAATGCGAAAAAAGAGACATAGAAAGTAAGGGGAGAAACGAATTGAGAGAGAAGCAGAGCGAGTACATAGAGAAACAAGAACTGAGAGAGAAAGAAGAGAGGGTAAAGAGAGAGAAGAACTGAGAAAGGGAAGAGAGAGAGGCAGTGAGTAACGCAGAGAGAGAGAGAGAGAGAGAGAGAGAGAGAGAGAGAAAAAGAGAAAGAGAGTATCACACGCAAAGAGAAAGAGAGACAGAAGGGGTAGCAGAGATAGAAGGAAGTAGAGTAATACATAGAGGTTAACGGAGAGACAGAGAGAGAGAGAGAGAAAGAGAAAGAGAGTAACATACGCAAAGAGAAACAGAGACAGAAGGGGTAGCAGAGATAGAAAGAAGTAGAGTAGTACATAGAGGTTAACGGAGAGAGAGAGAGAGAGAGAGAG